ATATACAAAAATAAAAAATTAATTTTGTTTAGTGGTTCCGAAATAAGGGTTTTACTTTTTGCAAAAAATGAAAGAAAGTCTCGTGAGGGTTAATGATTAGATTTATCAACCTTTTCTTTCCTTTATCTCCCCATTATTTAGTTATAGAGTAAATTGTTTTTTATTACTTCGCATTTCTCTGCGTGATTTTTTATTTTTCTTTGTTTTAACTATTAGAAGTTAGGACTTCTAGCAAAATAAATACTGTTATGATTTTCTTAAAAAACAATTATAACAAAAATATTTTTATCATATTTTAGGCTGCCTGAATAAATAAAAAATATTTTTTTAGGCTGAATAAATTATATATATATATATATATATATATATATATATATATATATATATATATATATATATATATATATATATATATATATATATATATATATATATATATATATATATATATATATATATATTTGCGTGTTAATGTCATAGATTGAAAAATATACAACAATTTTCACAATACTATAATTTAGCTGAAAATATTTGATGACTGATATTTCTCATCAAAAATAAATTATATTATGAGTTAGAGAAATATTTCACTTGAAGTAGAAGCAATTTGTTTTCATTAAAATAGCTACATGAAATCAAATAATTCGCAATTTCCGTGCGTGATCATTCATGAACTGTATTGTAAACGATTGCTGTGACTCTATGATACACAGTGCAACTCTGTTTTTTGGAAATTTTTACTAATGTTTAAAATATTATTAACAAAAAAAGTATTTTGCTGAAATTTGTATTTTCCGAGGAAATAAAGTTAATTTATCTAGTAACTAAAATTTGCGTTTTTCTGTTCCGTGCGTGATTCCGCTTCAAACTAAATTTATTCTTTAATAACATTACTAATGTATGCCACTTTTTGTTTAAAAAATATTTAAATAGATTAGAATTGAATGAAAGTAAATTGGGAGATCCCCAGTTTTAATTTTATGAAAATAATAAACAAAACAAATGCGAGTTTCCGTGCGCGATTTATCGGAAACGCCCTATTCTAAGTTATACTTTGCGACTTAAGATTAACTTGTTGTTAATCCTAAGTCGCAAAGTGTTGTAAAAGCCTAAGTCGCATAATATAAAAAAATTTTTATATTATGAGAATTATATGAGGTTTTCCTTAAAATACGTACACAGACATGAGGAGAGTAGATTCCGCTTTAAACTACCCAAAGACATACGAATGCGTACAAGGTTAGGGTATGTGTGTTTAAGACAGCGATTATGAATCTGTTCTCACTTCTGTAACAGATTAGGGCTTGCAGTAGCTTGTTAATTTTAACTCCAACAAAACTCAGTTATTTACTGCAAACAACTATTGCAATACTGTCGACATTCCGATGTTAATAAACAGCAATCCTTTCACTGAGTCTTCTTTACTTCTTCTTGGATATATACATATATATATATATATATATATATATATATATATATATATATATATATATATATATATATATATATATATATATATATATATATTAGGATGTCCCAAAAAATAGGTTTTTTTACGCAATCAAAAAGCATGGTATATACCCTGGTTATATACCTTGAGTAAAAGATAACCACCAAATTTGAGATCTCTAACCATACGGGAAGTGCTAGGTGTAGATTTTCATTTTTTAATAAATATCCAATTTTCAATAAATCTGGAAAAGATTCACAAAAATTAACAAACAAAAAATAGTATGTTTCTAAGAGCTCGCAAGTTGTTTAAATCCTTCTTCAGCATTCGTTTGTTAACCAACTTTCTGTTGTCCTTAGCCACCAGCATAATGTGTTGTCTCTGACTTTCAATATGACTTTCAATCTGCCAAGAAATCTTAAACTAGACGAATATTTCTCTCTGCGCAATCGTTTATACATATAATAATCATAGGATAAAAATCAGGTACTAGCTGTTTTTCCCAACCAACTCATACAGCTGAGTATTCTTGTCAATGATAATGTCATTTCTGATATCTGGTTTCTTAATATCAAAGTAAGAAATATCTTCTGGATAGGGATATTTCAAAAGTTTCTAGATCATTAATGCTTTTTCCTCATCAGCTACATTTGAATCAGAAAGTAAAACAATAACGACATCTTCTGCCAAGTGCCATGTATGTCTAAGAAGAGAATTCTTAAGACTTCTGCCTTAGATTTCATAGTATTCTTCTACGCTTTCAGTAATTGTAATAGCCTTAAGATCATGAAAAGGTCCCTGTGATATGATTGATTTCTTGAGAAACCAAGGAATGTAAAATATAGCAACATAAGGTACCACTTTATTAATTTCTTCTCTCCTCCTCTGTCATCAACGTAAGTGTTTTGTTGATGAGCTTAAGCATCAATAAATATATCCCATCTACCATAAACCTAGCTTCATGGCAAGCAGGGGGCCGGTGCAGTGAGAAGTCTGAAACTTTATTACCTAAGTAAACTGAACCCAACTCGCACAACTTTCTGTAGTCTGTTCTGTCCTTTAAAAAGGTATTCTTGATGATTGCATTTCTCAACAAATCCTTGGCCTCCTGTGCAGTCTGATGAATGAACAAGCCACCTTGAAAAATGTTCCAATCAAGTCTGTTTAAAGAATTAATATCCCCCTTGTACACTTTAAAACTGTCTGGCCAATTTTTTTTAAACCTTGCATAAAGGTCTTTCTTCGGTGCTTTACTCAATGATTGCACCAAATGACAAATGTGTCTCTCATATATGTGCCTGCGGTATAAAAGCCACATAATATGCTTTCCAACAACATATTTGTTGATAAGTTGATTTGCCCCATAATGAGCACCAGTGTTTGAAGCTATCGTATCTGCACAAACGGCAAAAATATTTTCCTTTATTTCAAAATATTCCAATGCATTCTTTATTTCTTTTGTCTGTTCTTTTTCTTTCGAAGAATTTGCTTTAAAAACCCCTAACAAAATGTCATTACTATTATCATCTTCCAGAACTGTTAAATTTACTGCAATCCTTTCCTTTTTTACAGTAATATTATTTTCATAATCCATTTCTTTGCTCAATTTGCTTTCAAAGTGTAGGACAAATTTTTTACCAATTAAAACATCCTTGTAGCCAGCTCTAATTTCACCCCCCTTGTTCTTGATTGTCTCAAATCTTTTCCTATGGGTTCCAGATTTTGAAAGAACAATGTCTTTCATGTCGTGCCTAGCATGCCTTAGAATGGAAGATAATAGAGCCGTGTGATCCCTAACACTATTCATACATACATACATACATACATACATACATACATACATACATACATACATACATACATACATACATACATACATACATACATACATACATAAGTACCTCACTGGTAGCTTTTATCAATCCATCCGCTGATATAGACAGATGTAGCTCATCTTTTATCTTTTTCCCAGTTGATGGTCCAGGCTCTTCAGGATCTTCGTCAATTGATACATCAAAAGATACTTCTTGAGATGAAATTGACTAAGAGGACAAAGATTCGGTTTCTGATTCAGAGACATCAACTTGTTCTAAATTAATTGTATCTTCTGTGTGATTTTCAAGGTTTCTGCTCAGCTCTTCTCTTGTATCTACCCTCCTTTGGTAGATCATGTAAAACTCTGAGGTAATAACCATTTTTCTTGACATGTTAGCTGGTTAAAACTCGTCTGCAGAGGGCAACAAATATTAGACTTAGTTGACTTGAACCTCAGCTGCTTTGAGAATATAATTTTACAGTATTTTCTAAGTATATCTCCATTTGCGGGTAATTGCGACTTGGAAAGCTCTTTTATGGGCCTGTCTAAAAAATACTGAGGTCTCCTTGGGTTCTCTACTACACTATATAACCGTTTCAGCACTTCTTCATCAAAATTCCTTTTTTTTTTCCTTTTCCCCATCCCCTCATTTTTTTTTCTCTGAAAAATAAATAAAAATTTCATTTAGGATATGTTATTACATATTATTAACTACGATAGTTTAGGGTTGTTATAATTTACAGTTCAACATTTTCATGTTTTACACGATATACTTTGTACACTTGTTATCGTTAAAATGATATACTTGTAACAAAGCGCTTTTGCCGCGACTTTCTGTGAAAATATTCAAACAATTAGTAAAGACGATGATCTTCTCTTCTCCACAATATATCGTAATCTTCTAACAACACTTTTTATATTTTAAAATATTGTTATGTATAACGTAAACATTGACGAAATGTTTACTTTATACAAAAAATCATGAAAAATAATAAAATTCGGTGTTTTTAAGTTTTTACACCTAGCACTTCTAAGGGTCCTAATAACCAGGAAATTATCCAATAATCGCGCCGGCCCTTGTATATATATATATATATATATATATATATATATATATATATATATATATATATATATATATATATATATATATATATATATATATATATATATATTATAGGAAATAAAAAATAAAAATATAAAATAAAAAGTGATAATGGAATATATGCATGCTACTTTTAGAGGTGAATCATCATTTGGCAGCAGTTTTTAGTTTTAGTTGTTGGCGGAAGGGTAAACGTACCAATGTTTTTTATTTTAATTTCAAAAAACCTTTAGTCAATCTGGAAGTGTATTTGGAAATACCTCGACTTTTATTATCACATTAGACAAGATTTTAAAGATTATAGGCAATAAGAAATCAATGAGCGCAAGAAATGATACTTATCTAGACAAAATTATGTAAAATTTTTGTTGACAATTAAAAATTATCAATGAAAATTATTATCATTCACATGAGTCAGCGCACTGTGGGGTATTTAAACAAATTAGGCGGGCAAAAAAAGTTTTTATACTTTAATTGAAAAAAAATTAAATTTTTTAGAAGAGACAAGTAGGGAAGCCAAATAAAAAAAGCAAAAAAAGATTTTTTTTTTTTTAAATATGGATGATAAAATATCCCTCCTCTTGTTATTTTACAATTTGCGTAAATGCATAAAAATGATAAGAATAGAC